ACTAAAGTGAACTCATAATAGCTTCAAGAGTACCTAGTGATGAATCTAAAGTTGATGAGTGAGTTGCATATGACACTAAACTCGAGTTCAGAATTTTCTGTCAACTAATTTTAACCACATCTAAACATTTGAACGTTTAAGCGATTTCTTGATTTAAGTACCTTGTAATTGATAGTCGATCTATTATAGGCTTATTGTAGATTTCATTAAATACAAAGTAGATGGAATAACATTTCATGAAACATCTTTTTTTGGAAAGAAGCCAAGGACAGACATTTCATCCTAGTTGAAAAATGATTGAATATTGTTGATACATTCGACAAAACAAATATGTAACAAATAGTGACATTGATTTTTTGAATAAAATTATTCAGATGATTTAGCAATGAATTATTTATTCAAAATGTTCATGTTGAATTTTTAATAAATAATTCAATAAAATTGTAACGTTTTTAGTTTTTTTTCTTTCAATACAATTGATTCATTTATCACGGGATTATTAAAATTGATCTATTGGACATTGAACCAAGAGTAATGTGAACTGTAAGTGTTATCCTTGACATTAAAAAATTTTAACATCTACTCCCAAGATGTCACAGAGATGGTACCATATCATGGTCATTGGTTGGTTATCTTAGTTATTGAAATGTGACTAATACATATGTAATCGTGTATACAAGTCTTAATTTCTATCAAAACATGTCATACATACAGAAAAAATGTAATCAACATAACTTCAGATTACTGATTTGATAACATAAACTGGACAACTTATCAACGTCTGGTAGCAAAGTCTCATGAGGAAACCAAAAGAGCAATAGACTATGAGAAATAAAATATATCAGAGATTTAAAGAATAAAAGTTAACGGAGAATCAGATTATCAACCCAATTTCGATATTATTGAGAAAAACTAAAAAAACTAACTAAAGTCTTAATTTTAATCTATGATAAAATGAAATGATTTTGGATCAACTAATCATCCATAAGATAAGTGTCCATTAGGTTTACCCACGGAATTCAAATTACGATAAACGATCGTATATCTCATTAAGATCTACATAGAATATTGTCTAAATTTAGTTTACAACATGTCTAGAACTGATAAACAAATATCTTTTGTACAATTAAAAAGTGAAACTGACACGATGCATAACCTAAAAGTGCAAAAAAATAATACATACTAGCAAGGTGGATTATATCTGACAGATGTAGCGTTCGACATTCCCTGTCGTGATGACTCAACCCGGCTTTATTGGCTACAAAAACAAGTTCATTTAGGTCCTATCACGACAGGGCAGGAGAGAGGTAACACTAGAAACAGCAACTTAACGCCTGACGGTGAAGTCCTGTTACCAACTGTATGACAAACAACACCTGCAAAGATAAGTGACTGATGTATAAGGTTCACATACTTTGTGTACACGTATAAGTCTTACTATTACGATTGAAATCAAAGTCTATAATAGAATGTAATTCATACCCAAGATCTACTGTAAACTTCCATGAATATTTAACAACGGTATCAAAAGATTTAAATAGGTATTCATTAAATTGTTAGTTAGTTAGTTAAAAACTCGATTAGATCAAAGACTAACTAACTAACTAACTAACAAACATAGGATCTATGCACTTGATGATGACACATTCACCTGGACAACTTGGAATAACTGAAGTGAAGTGGAATGTTTGAATCTGTCAATCTATCAACAACAATAACAACAAAACGAGAAGAAACCATCAGAACCAATCACTTCGTACATCGAATTCGTCATACAAGTAGACGTAAATCCATCATAGAAAAAAACAAAACAAAACAAATCAAGATCATATTTTGTTTCCCAACTAGGTACATTACAACACACTAAGACCAAAATCATTAGAACTAAATAAATAACTATATATATAGATGTATATATATATATTTTTAAATATATTCACAGAGTACAAATTTGCATGACGCAATGTAAAATATATATATAGGTTAGAAAACCAAAGTGTAATGTCTTGAAGAGAAAAAAGTGTATAGAGACACACTGAGAGAGAAAGAGAGCTTGCAGTGTGAACGTGTGTGTGTGTGTGTAGAGAAGAAAAGTTTTTTTTAAAAAAAAAAAAAGAAAAAAGCGCACAAAGTGCAAATGTCACCAGGTTGCTTTATTCATCTAAGAACGATGGTATTATAAATGTATATATATGTACGTTCAGATACATAAATAGATAGATAGATAGATAGATAGATAGATAGAGGCATAACAATGTCCGTCGCCATTTCCCTCAGTACTATATTCATGTCAAGCTTTTCGTTCTGGCAGAGACAGAAACAGAGTGGAACAACAACAAGAAGAAGATGAAGAAGAAGCATAGAATGACCAGTTAATATTTGAATTATCGACTATCATCATTTCATAATTAATTAATTGTCACAATGGTGAGGGGGGCGGGGCGGGGCGGGGCGCGGACAACCTGTAACAATTCACCGTGAAACAGCATATCAATACGCCATAAATAAACAATAAATTCTTCAGTAGCAAAACAAGAAAATGTCAACATACAAACAAATACAGGCATACACATACACACACACACAGTGAACATTGAATTTGATTGTCAGGCACTTGCGTTTCCGATACAATTCCATTTGACATGCCTAGTGAGTATGAGTGAGTGAGGTAAACAAAAGTCGTATTTCTCCGCCGTGATTTTCTTACAACATCATATATGCATATATATATATATATGATACGTTCACTTGTTTTCAAGAAAGACTATTCATATTTTTTTTTCTGAAAAAATAATAATAAATAGTAACAATGATAATAATTGGTGTGCGCGCTATTGTTCAATGTAGAAAATGAAGGAAATTAAAACAAACGACAAATCAGAATGATGAAAATCGAAAGAAAAACGTAGAGAAAGTAAGAGACAGAGAGGAGAGAACGGTGTGTGTACACAAGACACATGTAACGAGTTCAAGGGAACAAAAAACCGGATTGCAGTAGTAGTAGTAGTAATAGTAATGATAAGAACCTAAAGAACAAATGCCTAATCATACATTAATTATAATTATCAAATCAAAAAAATAGTATCATTACGCAATAACAATGCTTGTTATAGAAAAAACTAGAAAAAGAATTATCATGCTTGCTACATTGGATGTGAGTGAGTGTATGTGTGTATGTAGGATCATTGATGATGACAAATCGTAAGAAAAAAAGAAGGTTTGGCAAAAAAAAATTAACCACAACAACAAAATCATAAATTAAGGTAGTACTAGTAGTAGTAGCGGTACAAACAGTGACACTAGTACGTATACTATGAATGCATATTTCCGAATTTTTTTCTCAACATAGACAGGACTAGAGAAATAAGTAACAACATTGTTGATTTGGTGTCGTTTGTCAAATTACAAACAAAAATTCATCATCAGGACCATGACCAGCGGATTGGTTATCCGCATCTCTAGCCTGAGACATGTTCTTTTCTTGTTGTTTACAAATCAAAATACATAATTCCAATGATCATGTGAAGGTTTCTGCGTGTGTATGTGGATGTGTGTGTGTAGAAGTGTGCTATTGATAATACCGATGATGTGAAATACAATACGCAATAAAACAAATCGATAGAAAGAGAAAATAAATAAACACTGACGAGTTCAGTGAGAGAGACGGAGAGAGAGAGAACCACAATAGAGTAAATTGAAATTCCTTCTCTCCCCACGGCTCCCTTCATTTTTTTTGTTCAATTCATTATACTCGCATATAACACAACATTGAACAGGTTTGGAGAAAAAAGAAATGCGATGGAGCCGAGAACATTTTGTACACCTTTACAATAAAATACAAACAATAATGATGATGATAATAATAACAGTGTTTCAATTGTTCATTAAAATGAGGTTTAAAGTAGTTATAACAACATTCAATGAATTATGCAATCAGTGTATAGTAAATGGTAGTCGGAGTAGTAGTAGTAGTAGTAGTAGTAGTAGTGAGTACAGTACTAGTAGTTTATCAAAGAGATGCATAATATTGAAGATAACAGTAACAATAAGTGACACACAAAGTAATAATATAATAATTCCACTTTGATTGCAATAACCCCATAGGCAAAACAACTTGCACAAGAATAAGAAGAAGAAGACGACGACGAAGAATTATAAAAAAAACACACACATACTTCAGTGTTGTCAAGGTCAAGAGTGCAACGCTAATGAGATCAATTGATGAATATGGATTGATAGTGCAAAAAAAACAAACAAAAGCATTGCAGATTAGTGAACATGACTAGAGGATAGTGCAGATAGATAGACAGACAGACAGACAAACAAACAATCCGAAATTGTACACACAGACAGGCACACATGTGGACGTCCGCGTGTGTGTGAGATGACAATTTCAAAGGAAAATGAAGCAAGAAAGGATCCGAAAAACAACGCGCACACACACACACACACACACCTGAGTACAGACATGAAAACAGGGCAATGTGAAAAAAAAAAGAAATAATTGAATAATTGAAACACGAGGTCAGAACTAATAATAATCGATTAGATCAGCATAGTCAATAACAACAATAACAAATACAGACATACATTACAATTTTAGCGCAAGTACAATGTGAACGACAGAATAAACCATCACATATAATAATAATAATAATCATAAAGAAATAATAACTGATTAACGATTTAGTTCGGCAATTAGGCCATATGTGTATATGTGTACGCAGAGAACAATAAATGACAGCAAGAGATAAATATATTAGAGAGAGACACAGAGACACACACAGAGCGAGAAGGAGACAGAGTCAAAGATTACAAATTGAGATCTTTTCAAATAGAGAAAATCAGAAGAAGAGCTAATTTCGAAAAGAATATGATTATGACGATGCTGATGATGAACAGATGATATAAAGAAAGAGTATTATTACATCATGGATGCATCAAACAAAACACTCTCATAGTCATGGTGCCAATAATAATAATAATAGTTATAACATAAATTATACAATCTCATAAAATAAACCATTAGTTGAACAAATTGATTGAGTAGTTGACATTAATTTATTATGATTATCATTAGTATTGCTGTTAGTCTTATTGTTAACAGGATCATTTTTACTTTTACACATAGATGATATATTCTCTGTGATTGTATGAATCATGGAGTTTGATGAAGTAGGAATACAAGTAGTATTGGTAGTATTCGTAGTAGTACTACTACTACTACTATTAGTAGTAGTAGTAGTAAGTAGTTTATCATTGAATGACTCTTCTTCCATTAACTGATACCCATTAACCAATAGACTACCGTTTAAACGACCATTTTGTTGTTGTTGTTGTTGTTGATATAGATTAGTCGACGGTGAAGAATAACGTAATCGTCTAGACTGATGCATTTGTTGTTGTTGGTGTTGGTGTTGTTGGTGGTGTTGTGGATAAAATCGTCCATTGACAGATGGTGAGTAAGGATTGATCGATGGAAGTTGTGGTGTGAAATACGGTGATACAAATGTTCTATATCTCGCATGATTCATTGGATATAATTGAGGCTGTACTACTGGATAAGTGAATGTAGTAGGGACATTGATAACACCGGGACTACTAATTAAATCATTATCGGTAGAATTCAAATCATTCGATAAACTACTATCATTGGCAGTAGTAGAAGCACTAGTAGTGGTAGTAGTGGTAGTCGAGAGAGATGTATCAGAACCTGTTGTCATTTGTACTGCAACTTCTTCATTCAATGCATTCTGAGGACCTAATACAGCTAAATGTGTCATAATAACTGATCCACCTCGATTGGTAGTACTAGTAGTCGTTGAAGCAACAGCAGCAGCCGCTGTTACTGTTGCTGAAGCGGAGACACCAGCGCCTCGATCACGATATCCAGTAGGAACAAAATACACTGGCGGTGGAGGCGGTGGAGTAGGAGATGTACCACCACCACCACCGAAAGGCGGGAAATTCAAATTTGTTCGTACTGTATTATTAATAGCAGTATTGTACTGTATTGGTCCACCACCCATATTGGGATTAGTATACATAAAATTATTATTATTAATATTATTAGGATAACCAACACCGGGATAAGGAACAAATGGATTGGTTGCAGCTAAAGCAGCAGCTGCTGCTGCCGCTGTATGCGCAGTGACTAGGGATGAAGATTGTTGCATGCGGAATAGTTCTGTTTCTAAGAGACGAGCATAAGTTTTATATCGTTGAACCTAAAAAAATGTCACATAAATGAAAGAAATAGAAAGAGAAACTAAACAGTATGTGAGAAAAGAAAAAAGTGAGTTAATGAAGAACAACTATAAAATATCAAAATATATATGAAAAACAACTACATATTACCTTCAAAATCATGAATGAATCATTGGTAGGCCACCATTAGAAACGTGCAAGCACTGGACAGCCGTCTCGTGCTGGAAATGGGACTTATCAGCAGTGCGCATCCACAACTCCCACCACTGGCAGAATTCGAACCCAATGACTAAAATCCTGAAGTTCTAGGAGTTCTATGGAGAAGCCGTGGCCATCGGAGTTCAACTCTGTCATATGTAGGCAGTAACTACTGAAGACCATAAGTGAGGATGAGGAAACTTCTTAGACAGATCAGAGCTGAACAATAACCGGCGCATTGGTCAAGAAGGTAAGTGTCCGCATGGAAGACTGAATATCGCGAGTTCGAATCTTGCGTGTATCAGGAGCCGTGGATGCACGCTGCTGAAAAGTCTCATACCAGCGCTTCCAGGTTTCTAATCGTAGTCTAACACTGATTCATTCACGATTTCAAGATAAAACTACGATCTGAATAATACTCTACTGCACAAAAACACATTGATGATACAGTTTCAAACACATTCATTATTTTCCCCAATATTCTCACCATATAGATATATCTATAATCACTCAATTGTTAAAACTAACAGAAATAATTGACAAAATTCGATTATAATTAAAAGGCATAAGACTGAATTGATATTGACTATTATATAGTCAGTGACTCAATCCACATAACTGTCTTAATCCCGTTGAAGGTAAGTCAAAGTTAAACAGCTCGGTGGCAGTTTCGAATTCTTTGGAATTGGATGACCTACATTCGAATTCACCGCACAAAAGGAGCATTGCATTTTCCTTAATGTTACAGATAGAGCTTCCTGGTGAATGCTAACTAGTAACAAGCCTAGGTTCAAAGTTTTTTACCGACGACACATAATAATTGTATGATATCAAGTCGTATATCATTTTGAAAATTTTTAGATAGTTTAGCAGTTAAAGCACTTAAGTCAGTAAGTCAATTATAATGTAGAACTTCGTATGTAAGTACATTAGTGTTCAAGTGGCCACACCACATTATCACTGATAGATAGAATTGTCATGGCCAAAACAGATAGTGATCGAGGTAGTAGAAGTATTAGCAGTAATCGGAGAGATTAAGGCTCGAGGATATTATTCAAGAAGTAGAATCTAGTGAAGTAAACTTAGAAAGAAAAGGATAAAGATGATGAGGAATTCAGAAAGTTAGGATTTGAGAAAGAACACACAGAGTGGATGCACATACAACATTGCAAACGATTTTCAGCCATGTCATTTCAATGAGTCTAACCATCAGTTACGATCGTAACAAGGACTTTAACCAGGTAGTCTACACCTACTAATATTGCTCAGTCCAGTTGTCAGTGCCGTCAAGGATTTGTTCCATGTTTTGGTTTGGTCAGCCCCAGCCTACCCTTACACTAAACAACATAGTTAAGGCATCAAGAGTTCAATCAATGAACAGCAGGCTAAAGCCTCAATTGATCTATTTCATTCACGCACATACTCACACATACACAATGTATGTCCCATAAACCCAAAATATCAACTAGTACTTGATAAATAGATAACATTAAAATAACTAAGTGATAAAAGGCAGATTGGACTTCATGTATGAGTTGTATGATAGTGAGAAGATCAAAATTTTTTTACCGAACCATGTACTTGGTGAAACTGATACAACATAATTTAACTGTATGAATTGCTAAAACCATTCGATTATTGATGTCAAAAACTACAATCAGTAAGCCCGGTTTAGCACAAGCTAGATTAGTTGAATTCAGTAGTTAAGTGGGCATTTAAAGCCGAAATTATTGAGTTCGAGTATTGGAGTGAATATCAACGAGTGATAGAACATTCAACTGATTGAATGAAAGCAGCATCTTGGATTCAAATGCTGGCTACAATCCAGCTTAATCAAATATGCTTATAGTCTACAGATATTGTCGAAACAATTTACACTGGATTAACAACAGGGCAGATCCAAACTACACTTATAAGTGAATCGATAATAGTAATAATAATAAAAGGATAATAATTTGTACAATGTTAAACGCACAACAGATGCATTATAGTGAGAACTAGGAAGGATTTGTTTCAGACCGATTTGGTGTCGCGTGCTGTTACAGGTATGAGGGAGGATGTCACTTACCGGCTGTCCACACCGTAGAAGGGTGTTTCCTGAGGAACGTGAAAATGAATTTAGATTAGTGTTGGTCTTAACGATCTGGGAGTGTGACCGCAGAGCTCAAGGGACAACTGCTTCAGGCCGATCATGCACGGCCTATTTATGAGAAATTTGTAAAGTATTAGCTCCGCTATTCAAATGGCCTTACCGCCCGAAGACAAGAGTCCGTGAGGTAAAGTGAGGTGTGACATTTTTTAGGGTCGACCTTTTCCAACATCTTCTTTCCTTGTGAGAAGGCAGCATCACTGCAGATGCTGGTTGTCCGACAGAAACACCTTACTGCTGTCACACCTTTTTACAGTTAGTTAGCAGTATGACTTCACCCTCAGACCATGAGTAGCTCTGTTTTTAGTCTTATTGCACTATACTAATACATAGAGAGAAATGATTAGGCTTAAGTAAAGAAGAAGAAGAAGACGGAATAATGTAGGCAGATTAGGCTAAATGTTTACTTAAAGATTTACACATTTGAAATTATTAATCAATCATCATTGTTAGACCACCCTTAGAAACCTGGAAGCACTGGACGGCCGTTTCGTCCTAGTATGGGACTCCTCAGCAGTGCGCAGATTTACCAATAAATTTAGAGAGAAAAAAACGATTCATCGAGCAAGAAAGTGAAAAACAAAAAGCAATTCTGATCAATTACAGTTTGCTTCTGGTGTTGTTGTTGTTGCTGGCAAAAAAGAAACACACACACGTACATCCTAAGGGAATCAAAGTAATCAGAGACAGAAGAAGAAGAAGAAGAACAAAACAGTAGATAAGAACTGAAGCTGAAAAAAACAATTTTTTTTGTTTATCTACGGACAGTAATGAATGTGAACTTGATTGTAGGGAAAAAAATTTGAAACAAGAGACGAAAAAAAAGATGTTGATTTAAATTTAAGCATAACCTGTTTGTGATAAATAATTTCATCAGTTGACGTAGGATACGAAAAAGTGTATACAACAGAAAATTATATGTTCCATGTAATCATTGAGCATAAATTAAACGTCAGATCGAATATATGAATTGACAATTGCATCTCTTTGTGCTAATAATTAATGTGGTATGGTAATTTTGAACAGTGTGTGTGATTGTAAGTACGTACAAAGTTCTACGCTGCAGTTGATTGGTTGACTGAGATTGTGATACTTCATAAGCAAGTGAATTTGTTATTTTCTCACAACACCATCTCTTTGAGATGATCAGACTTAGATAGTATATAAATATGAAGCAGCATGTTTTACTAGTGGTAAATTGACTGAATTTCTTTCTGTAAGTAACAAGGGTTCAAACTCCACTCAACTTACTACGGAGTGGAGTAGTAACATGGTAGCACCACTCTCTCGCTCACTAGACTTCACACGTTTGATTGTCAGTCAAACTGTTGACAGGACAGAGACTTGTTCGAAGCATGATCGTATTAGAAAAGCTAGAATATGTGAATTGGGCTATTTTCTCAATTAATTAATGCTAGTGAATGAGCTAATATGACATTATCGAATATTTCAGGTTATTGTAGCTTAACTTACAATCTTTTTACTTTGGATTATATTCATATCCTATCCGAATCGTGTTTCGATTTGGGAATCAATCGACTGAATTGAAGTGAAGTGTACAAGAGACAGACAGACAGACAGATACAACGCAGAACTTCATACGTAAGTACATCAGTTCAGGTTGCCATGCCCCATCAGCACAGAAACGCAAATGTCAGTTCAGTGATAGTGATAGTAGAATTATTAGCACCAATGGAGAAGATTAGGGAGCGAAGATATGATATCATTCGAGAAGTATAATTCAGTAAGATAAATTTAGAAGGAGAAAGGTAGAGATTATGAGGAATGCAGAAACTTAGAATTTCATAGAACACAAAGAGTAGATACACCTGCGCCATTGCAAACGATTTTGAGCCATGTCATTCAAGGTCTCTAACTATCGATGACTGTCCTCTCGCGGACCCCAACCAGGTAGTCTACATCTACCAACATGACAGTCCACTTGTTAGTGACTTCATGGATTTGTGCCATGTTTTGGTTTGGCCGCCCATTGATTTCTTCCAGCCGACTCCTAAACCACAAAACAGCTCGTCGAGGCAGTCGGTGGTTAGGCATACGTAACACATGTCCCAACCACCTCAACTGATGAAGTTTCACTACTCCATCTATTGATTTGCCGTCCCTACCTAGAACGCGTTTTCTAACGACAGCATTACTTATACGGTTGTCCCGGGATAAACGAGCAATGCTTCGGAGACATAGATGATCGAAGACTAGCAACCTACGAAGTCAGTGTACAAGAATAGTAAATCAAATAAAAAGACTTAACAATAAGTACACAAATGCATCTGTACCTAATGAATGAGTTAGTTAAAATACTCTACTTTATAAAATTTATAAAAAATCATTCCAGTAAATTTATCGATTGCGAAATTTATTCATAAGACTGTAGACAGGAATAGCACAAAAGTTACATCTTATCAACTGAACAAACATTGATAATAGTCAACGATTCTCTCTCTGAAATGATGAACATTATCAAATGAAACACATGTTTATTATCATTATTACTAATAGAACAGAAGTAATATTTAACAAACACCAGATTTTTAATGTCTACTATAGGAGAGAATAAACCAGATTCCAGATGTGATAGAAATCAAGAAAAATATCGTTGAAGGTGGATAGGACAAACATTGAGGAAAGCACTCAACTACGTCACAAGGCAAACTCTTACCTGGAATCCTCGAGATCAAAGCAAAAGAGGAAAATCAAGGACAAATTTACGCCGTACACATGAAAAGAATGAATAGCAACTGGGTAGAACTAGAAAATGAAAGGCCTATGACAGAGTAGGTTGGAGAATGCTGGTCGACGGCCTATGCTCTATCAGAGGTATATATATATATATATATATATATATATATATATATATATATATATTTTATGGATGACAAATAAACAAAAAATGAGCATCAATTAGTTGGTGTGCTGACAATCAACCAATTAAACATAGTAGACAGAAGACATTTTACATTTTATAGAAATGAGAATCTCCAGTCAGCTGCCAATCAATTTATTTATCAAGTACAAAAATAAGCAACACTCTAACTGTGAAAACTAGTGTTACTATTGTTTTCCAATTGCTAGCTCAAACCATGGAAATGGATATATTATGAAGTTGCAACTTACTAACTGAGAGAGAGAGAGAGAGTTGAACAATGCCTTAATCATTGAAATATAGAAGTTTAAAAAAAGCTTCAAAAAATAATTATCTAGTACAATTCAGCTTGTAAAACAATGATAAATATTAAGACGAAAGAAATAAACGACGTTTACAGATTGTTAGGATGTTGATTTGATGTTACAATAAGTGTATCTTTGAAGTATTGCTCATGTACGATAAAATGACCGAACTAGTAATGTTAAGGTTAAGCATAGGATACTTCGTAAAGATGGTAAATAGGCTGATGAAGTTGTTGAACTTAATCAACTGGTGTGATTTGAACATGTTTTACAAGTCGAACAATGGATCACTTTGACAAGGGATATTAGTTGGTATAGGAGTCAGTTGGAGGGGAAAAGTAGACGTAAACAAATCAAAATGCAAAATCAGTACATGAAGTCAGTGTCTGTTTGTGAACTCTAATATTGGTGTATATGTGGATTATCCAATTGAGTCAGTGTAGTAATCACGATCGTTGATTGGAGAATTCAGAAATCCATGAAGTCATTGACTAGTGGACTGAGCCATGTCGGTAGTTGTCGACTACCTGGTTGAGGTCCGCGAGATGATAATAATCGATAGTTAGATACCCTGAATGACATCGCTCAAAACCGTTCGCAATGGCGCCGGTGCATTTATTCTTTGTGTCCTCGCAAATCCTAATCTTCTGGATTATTCAACACCTCTAGCTTTGACTTTCTAAACTTTTCTCACTGAATCATACTTCTTGAATAATGTCTTGTAATCGCAACCTCTCCGATTACTTCAAATTGCCTTACTACCTCTACTAATATTGGATTTGAATTGACAACTATATCTCTGTGCTGATGTGATATGGCAACATGAACTGATGTACTTCCGTACCAAGTTATATATTGCATCTGAATGACTGACTGAATTTAGAATCAGTTACAATATGAACAAGAAATGCGTTCAGTTCTTTTCTTTCACTAAATCTTAAAGTCCTAGTATTTCTTCATACATTCTATCGGTTCGTGACATTTTCTCAATAATCATTTTAAATAATGAATCGGCCAATGTTAGACCATCATAATGAACCTCTAAGCACTGGGCGGCAGTACGCTGCCACGACTGCCGCACGCAGGAATAGAATCCAGGAGATTCGGTCACGCGCGCGAACGTAATAGCTCAAGTATAGAAAAATGACATGTTTACGTTCATGCGTAACAGAAACGCAGACATCTATCCATCCACTTACAATAATAAAAGGATGATAGCAGTTGTATAGTTGGAAAAAAATTCTTTTTTCTTTCTGATAACATTGGTTTTGGCATTTTTTTTCTTCTCCACTGGATTCTTTAGTTTACATACAGGAAATTGTTCGGAATCAATGATGAACTAGTATTATTATTATTATTGTGTGTACAGGAACGTGTGTGTATGTATGTGACTCAACCTTCAGAGTATATGGCAAAAGACTCTTTCCCTATTGGTGGTGTAGTAGACACAATAGTCTAGAGTGATTGTGTGTCGGACGATGGGAGCGAGCGAGAATCATCTATAAACAACACATAGAACCAAAATATCATCGATAATTCGACATTCAGTCTAAAAGTACTAACAGTAGATGTAAAAAAAAGCCCATACACACATACACATATATCGTATGTCTATTTATTGTGCAAAGTTGTGTATGTGTGTGTGCAGATGATGAACACTAACAAAATGTAATTGAATACCAATGACACTTTACAAAAAAAATTTCAATATGCATGTCTGTATGGATGCGTAATATGCTAAGCAAAACAAAAAACATGTACATACACACACACACATAAGTTTACTTAGAGAAGAAATAAATGTGCACGTGTGTACGTACGTACGTGTATATGTAGTGTGTGTCTCTCTCTATATGCAGGGTTGTGTGTGTATTCAATAAATGAACTACTGTAACTATTACTAGATATGGAATTATTCATACTCGTCAGTTAATTCATTTGCATAGGTTGATTAAGAAGTCTCATTTGGCATGTGTATATCCACTTCTGTTAATGATATATGTCAGTTAAAGGGCATATCGAGGCGAACACATACTAAACAGAGTGATCAACCGACTGACAATCAATACAAATGAATTATTCTTCATCTTCACATTACACAAGCCAGAAACTATCTGGATTCAATAGGTAAGTGGATGGGGCGATGGCATTTAAGGCGTATGGTGCTGGGTTCGAGTTCCAGAGTGAAAATCACCTTAGAGATGCAAGTACATCCAACGAATAAGCCACAATTAGGATGAAACGCGAGTCTTGGATTCCACGGTTAGACACTATCCAACCTCTGGTAATAATACTCATCAGTCAGTTATTAAACGAACTGTAACATCATTGACAATGGGATCGTAAACATACCAACATGATTCAGTCCACTTGTCAATGACTTCATGGATTTGTGCCATGTTTTGGTCTGTCCGCCCCTAGCTTTCTTCCAACCTACTCTTACACCATAAAACATAGCTCGTCGAGGCAATATTCATTACTGTAAGAGTTTAATGTTAATTCTATAAATTAGTGTTTATTAATTTGTGGTTAGCGTTTTTTTTGGCAAGTATGTTTTCGACGGAATAAGATTGCTCACCCATACCAAACTCCTCACGTCTATCCAGGTTTGAGACTTGCAGTAGCTATAGAAGGACCCTACGCGTTGCGGAATTCACACAATTGAGTCATCAGGCAATCCCTGACTTAGAATCCATAAGGCCAAAGGAAAAGAGGTAGACTAAAGTACACAATGAGTCGAGAATCAGAGTCAGTCAACAAAAGAATGAACAGGAATTGAAAACAAGAGGAAAACAGGGCGGAGGACGAATTGGGTTGGAGATTGCTAGTCAGCGGCCTATGCTCTATGAGAGGTAATAGGCATTAGTAAGCAAGCTAGTGTTCATGATAAATATTTGATCAGTAGAGAATAAAATAGTGATTTTTTTAAAAATTAATGACAACAGTATAAGGAAAATTTACATTTACAATGGCATCCGAATTAAAACTGACCAAATTTTTATGTTGTAAGAAAGAAACAATGAGAAATAATAATTTCACCTGAAATGTATTGTTTACTAAGTGAATAACCGTGTTACATTGTGCAATTTTTCAAATCAAGACTGGCTAGTAGTATAGCACATAATTTAGTAGAAGGTATCTAGGAAAAGAAACTGGGTTACAACATGTGGTCTTGATGACCTTTTGACACCTCAGAGATTGAAAAGAGTTACGGCCGGTGAATAGGTGTTCCGAATGGTTGGTGTGCAAATTTGAAGGTCAGCCCTATTTAACTGCGTTCTTCTGTTGTGCGCTATCAATGCAGTTACGGATACTGTTTGTCTCAGTGAAATGTCATGCGTTATACTTCTGACATCAATAAAAATAATAACGAAAGTAAAAGGCATTCTAGAAGAAATAAGGCTGGTTTATATTGTAGAAACACCTTTCACACATATAAACACACACACACACACTTACCTCCGATTCCATGAATTGTATACGTTCTTCATATTCTGCACGTTGTTTAGCACTGATTATAAGACCACCACCATCTGATCCATGTGTTGTACCACTGTTGGAATTCAATGAACCACTACTACCTTTTCTACGTCGACCTAGACTACCGGTTGAAAAGACAGACATGAATGAATTAGATGAGAAAGATGAAGTTGATGTGGATGAAGTACTAGTATTGATTGTTTCACTGGATGTAACAACAGAAGCAGGCGCAGCAGTTGTAGTAGAATTAGAAGTAATTGTTGCTGTTGTAGTAGTAGTAGTAGTAGTGGTGGTTGAAGTGCCAGCCACTGTACATGATACATCAGTGTTTAGATTGTTAACATTAGTATTAGTAGTAGTAGAGTCAATGGTAGAAGTGGTAGGAGTAAAACTATCCAAATTCAATGTATTATTCTCGTTACATGATGATGATGCTGGTGCTGATGATTTTGTCGTTTCATCAAGTGACAATGATTGTGGAGCTGTTGAAATTTTACGATGTTTACTAGTAACACCACTGCTATTGTTACTACCACTACTACTACTACTACTAACCGAAGTGGCAAGTAGACGTGAACGTAGATCTGTTAATTCTTGATCTAATTCTAACAAACGTCTTTGATGTTCTTCAAGTTGTTCACGCTTGTAGAAAAACAAAGCAAGAACAATAAACGTTAGATCACAACATTACAAATAAACAATAAAATGATTTTATTTAAACTGTTTACTGAAAAACACACATTGAAGACGTCAACATCTGGAGGGAAGTAAGGAATTCAGTGGATGGCCACGACGTAGCTGGACAATCTTGTCTCCGCATATGATCTGGCTCTTCTATCCCACAAGCAACAACAAAGCGCAGGGAAAGACAACCAGTAAAGCAGTAGCCTCTACATACAGAAGAGTAAAGCAAGATTCTGTGATATAACACAACATGCACCAACCAAATATAACTTGATGGAGAAGTTTTGAATGATGTAAACATCTTTGCATATCTGGGCAGCATCATCGACGAGCAAGGTGGATCTGATGCAGCTATGAAGGCGCAGACCAGCAAGGGATGGACTACATTTCTACAAGTGAACAACATCTGGAACTCCAAACAAATATCAACCAACACTTAAGTTACAATTTTCTATACAAATATCAAGACAGTGTTACTGCATAGAACAGAAACTTGAAGAACCACGAAATCCACCATCCAGAAGATACAAGTATTCATTAACAGTTGTATAATTAAGATACTGAGGATCCGTTAGCCAGAAACCATCACCAACAACCTATTATATGACAAAACAAGCCAGATTCCAACAGATGATGAAATCAGGAAGAAGCACCACCCAAAAGCATCACTAGACAAGCCCTCACTTGTAATCTTCAAGGTCAAAGGAAAATAGGAAGGCCAAGGGACACTTTACGCCGATAATTGGAGATAGGCATGAAAAGAATGAACGATAATCGGACAGAACTAGAAAGGAAGGAACAGGATAAATTAGGGTGGAGAATGCTGGTCAGCGGCCTATGCTCCATCAGGGGATAATTGGACCTGTACTAATGATTTACAGTTACGATACTTCGAAAGTATCAAATCATACATTATTATTATTATTTTTATTGCAGCGAAACTCAGCTAGGAAATCTACACCATTCAAAACCAATATCAATCAATCAACGACCTTATGGACTAATGCTGTATTATATTGATCTATGTGTTAACAGATACAAAAAAACTTGGTTAGGTGTAAGTTGTACAAGTACTAATCACCTCATTCTTAAATAGTACAATATGAACTGTTATGTACTAATCAAATCGTTTTTCTTTTAAAAAAAATCAATATACACGTGACATGACAAAAACTAGGTAGATGAACTTTGCTATCAACTATGAACTGAACTAAAAGTTTAAAACAAGTAAAAGGGTCAATCTAACCAACTACTACTATTTTATAGATAACAAGGAATCAATTTATGATTGATATAGGTTTGACACGCATTCAAGCGCTAAACGAGCATGACAATGAGAAGTGTGTTCAGTGGTTAGGATGCATATTGCAGAAATCACCCAACTGTATCACGAGTTAAATCCGGAACTAGAAATCTTCAAGGCCAAATGAAAAAGAGGAAGACAAAAGAACACATTACGTCAGTCCTTAAAAGAATGAATAGCAATTGAGTAGAACTGGAAAAAAGAGTAGTGGATAGAGTTGGCTGGAGATTGTTGGTCGACGAAGGGTTACAGACGTACATATATATCTATACATACTACTTACTATATTCAATTTAGTACATGTTGCAGGTAAATGTGGCCGGTGAAAATTCCGCTCTGAACTAACAGCTGATGCTAAAGGTGGTGCAGAGAGAAGAGCTGCAACAAAATTAATTCGATCAATCCAAATATCCACTTCTTTGGCATCACTGGAAATAAATTTAAAAGAAGAGAAAAAAACACACAATAAAGATAGATATGAGTCTATCGATGTTAATGTCATGGTTGGATTTGATAGTTTCAACTAAATTGAACATTGAATAGAAGAAAGTTGATAATAATAATAATAATAATAATAATAATATATTCATTATGCAGCTTAGGGAGATGGTTATTTTCCATCGAAATCATGAAACAATCATAATTAGACCATCATAAGAAATTAGGAAGAATTGGACGGTTGTTTCATCTCAGTATAAAGCTCTTCAGCAGGATGTATCCACGAGCCCCGCTCGATGAGAATAAAACCCATGACTTTAGGTCTTGAGCGCAAATGTGTAATTTTTTGATGATATCCTAATGAGTAGAAATGTGCATTTCTAACGTTTTGTGACTGAATACAATTCACTCTACCCTATCACCTAAATCTTTCTCTTTTTAAATTTATTTTACTGGACTATATTTCCCGAAACATGGCCGTTAAGAGTAGAAGATATTCGTAGGTTACTAGTATTCAATCATCGATGTCTTAGAAGCATTGTTCGTATATGTTAGGACAGTCGAGTAAGCAATTCTGTTGTTAGGTAAGGATGGCAGATCAATAGATGAAGTGGTGAAACGTCATCAGTTGAGGTGGTTGAGACATGTGTTACGTATGCCTAACCACCGACTGCCTCGACGAGCTATGTTTTGTGGTATAGGAGTAGGTTGGAAGAAAGCTAGGAGCGGCCAGACCAAAACATGACACAAATCCATAAAGTCACTGACAAGTGGATTGAGTCATGTTGGTAGATGTAGACTACCTGGTTGGGGTCCGCGAGACGAAAGTCATCAATGGCTAGAGACCTTGAACGACATGGCTCAAAATCGTTTGCAATGGCGCAGGTGCATCCACACTTTGAGCTCTCTCGAATCCTAATCTTCTGGATTAGCCAGCACCTCTACCTTTGTCTTTCTAACCTTATCTCACTGAATAATATCTTCGAACCCTAGTCTTCTTTATTAACATTAATACCTCTACTATCTTTATCACTATGGGATTTGATTTGACGTTTGCGTCTCTGTGCTAATAATGTGGTATGGCAACATGAACTTATGTACATACGTACGAAGTTCTACGTTGCAACTAACTAATTAACTAACTATATTTCTCGAATCGCATCTTCGAATCCTATTTCTACTACCTCTACTACTTTGGGTTTTTTTGAATTGACAATTCAATCTCATATGTACTAATGTGCTATGGCAATTTGAACTGATGTACGTGTGTATACCAAGTTCTACGTTGTAGCTAGCTGAGGAAGATGAGACTGTTAAAAAAAATCTGAGAGTAGTAAAATGTAGTAACAATATTAATAGTAATAAAAAAGATTAAGGATTTAAGATACACACAATTCGATCAAATAAAGTTTAATTTAGAGAAATAAAAAAACAAAATTTATGGAAGAGGAAAAGACAATGAATACACTTGAACCATCACGAATAGTTCAAGACCATTTCGTTTAAAGTCACTAACCAACGAACGGGATTAAGATAATCCCATAGACTTCAACAAGGATTTCAGCATCTACCTGTATGGTTCAGTCCCATTGACTGATATCTTAGTTTAACTACTCTTATCTTTCTTCCAATGTACTCGTACATTATTCATTATGGGACCACTATTACTCATCAACAATGGGCATATACAACCGCCCCCACTCCACTGGCAGGAATCGAACGCAGAACCTTCAATCTACACAACCCAGTTATGGATTACACAATGACTAATAAAATTACAATGTTCAAATATAAAATCTAAACAAAATCGCTTACTTGACTTCGAATAGAAATTCACCGCCTTCTTTCGTGCGTAAACGGAATACATTCGGCTTTTTCACATAATCTGTAGCTCTACATGCATAAGCATGTGCTAGACGAATAATTGTTTCAGGTGATGGAATTGCCGGCGGAACAAATGACGATGATGATGATGATGATGGTTGTGTGGTCATTGGCAACGACTGTTGTTGTTGTTGCAGTTGTGTTGTAATATAAGGAGGCGGAGGAGTAGTATTAGACAATAGTGAAACAGATGATGGTATTATAGTGGCAGTTTTTTCAACTTCAACTTGTATTGATGAATTGGTCACAGTGAAATCATCCATTTCTTTTGAGACATTCTCATTGGTATCTAGTAGCATAGAAGTGTTCAATGATTGTTGACTTTCTATTGAGGTAGTCAGTTGTTTTGATGTTGTTGATAAGGCATGATCATCAACGTCCACATCATGATCACGATCACGATCAGGATCATCAGCTGCAGATAGACCAGTAATGCCATTGTCGGCAATATTCTCAATTCTAAAGAACAATAGATAATCAGTAATAGATACATTTAATTGGTAGCACAATGTAAAAGAGAGTAATTGATTTTGAGATGGTGGAGAAAATTTGTAGGCCAGGTGGATGATTGTGATAGAGTTTAGTTCTCTGAACAGGATGTTCTGGATGTGAAGCGTTCATCATTGTTCTTCTTCTGAACAACATCGTCATCAGCAGCACAACCATCAGAATACTACACTTATAAGTGACGTTTCTGCTGAACAACAATGATGAAAGCTGCATAACCAAAACATTCAGCTCAGAGAACGAAACTCCACCACAATAGAAATCGATGATTTCCAGGGACCTACAGGCTGAAAACGGGGGTAGGATCTTTACGAGTGCAATAGCCTTACACTTGTGAGATGGCATAATTAACAGAGAAATAATATCCATCTTACTTCGCTTGGTAGAGGTAATAGCTATCAAACATTTCTAACCTGATCTATGTTATGTATACACATAAAGAAAGTATGATTAACCTATCTATCACTTGTAGGATGATTGGATGTTTATCTAATAACCTTTATTGATATTAATTTGTTTAAATGTATAAGGTAAAGTGTTTCCCTAGGATAAGCAGCATCTGCAGCCATCTTAGTTTCTCACAACGGAAGGGAGGAGTTAGAAAATGTTGACCCTAAAAATGTCACACCTTACCGGATTTCCGTCTCCGGTAGTGAGGCCATTTGAAGAGCGGAGCTAAGACTTTACAAATTTCTCATAAATAGGCTGTGCATGATCGGCCTCAAGTAGTTGTCCTTTGGGCTATGGGGTCACACTCCCAGGTCGCTCAGACCAACGCTAATCTGATTTCTTTTACAGGTTCCTCAAGAAACACCCTTACACGATGTGGACAGCTGGGAAATGGCATCCGCCCTTATATCCATAACAGCACACGAGACCAATATCCATTTTAAGTGAATTGTCTCAGCTTTACTATTTAATTAGTTAAGTTGAAAAATAGATCGCGGCTAGTAGTGAAATCATCAAATGGATGTCTACAGAACAATAGGTCAGTGAAAAAAATACTTCACAGAGCTGTTTTAAACTAGAGTTCACTCTTGATCAGAATACTTCAGTGTGAACATTATATACTGGAATAACGATACACCAAGGTGACCAGTTTCAAATGGGACGAAAAGTGTGTTCTGTATTCCAATACAATCCACAATCTTATTATGTTCACTTAAACGCTTTCATATTCAGAAAAATTGCAGTTAATAGATATTGTTAACGTACTCTGTTCAAAATATTAAGATACTATAATATTAGAAAGTGTTCGACTCCTCATGTCTTTCTTCAGTTCTGAAATAAGGATAAAAGACTTAGCATTCAAATACGTGAGTATTAAGATATGTATGACATCTTCATGTTTTTTGAATTTGAACAAACCCATGAAGTCACTGACAAATCATGTTGGTCAATGTAGGCTACCTCGTTGGGGTCCGCGATACGAAAGTCATCGATGGTTAGAAACCTTGAACGACATGACTAGAAAATCGTTTGCAATGGCACAGGTGCATCCACTTTTTGCGTTCTGTCAAATACTGATTTTCTGAATTTCACATCACCTTTATCTTCCTCCTTTTAAGTTTATTTTATTGGATTATACTTCGTGAATCATATCTTCGAACCCTAATCTTCTCCATTACCAGTAATACTTCTACTATCTCTACCACTATATATATATATATATATATATATATATATATATATATATATATATCGACACACTCAGTTGCTGAATGTTGAATTAAATGAAGAAATCCTCCTGGAGTTGGTACAAAAAGAGGCATCTGCTCATTTATGCATCACATAAACTATTGAATTTGTCAGTGAGCTGGGATACTACCCGAACAACCAAACCGAAGTATGTAGTCTTCTAAAGGAGCCTACACCCTGAGACTCTGGCCCATAGGTCTAATCCACAAGGAAGTGTTAGGTAATGTTAGCAGATACAGTCCCATGTTAGCTGCTGACCAACAAGAGGTTCATATGCCATTCGCTCCATCAGGATACTGGAACATATGTGCATCAGTGGTTTAAAATCAAGGTTTACCAACTCCCCTAGGTGCATATCCCGCACCCGCCAACCCAGTCTTAGAGCCGAATACACTCTTTTCGTCCTCTCAATTTAGTAATCAGCACTCGTCAAACACGAGATGACAAGTATGAATCTCCTCACAACGGCTATAGACGACGCATGACCATTTGATAGCATTTCTGAAGAGAACAAACTCTTCCCACTCTCAACGGTACCAGAACAATTAGTCATCACATCATCATTAACTGTGAATAGTAGACTATTAAAATATAACACAAACAAACAAACAATCTATTCCTTAATAAATTGAAACAATCTCTTAACTTGAAACTTATTTCATCTTAGACCATAACAAATCAACAACTAACTACTACTACTACTCTACATACATATTTTCTCAAATACTTACTCTGAGTGATTTTCATTACTGCCAGCTACTGCTACTGTTGCAGCATAATCTTTTTTACACAATGATGATGATGATGAGGATAATTCAACAGTAGGATTATCATGATTACCGCGATGATTAACATTGACGCCCACTGCATCAACATGATCACCGCCGACGCCGACCTGATCCTCACCGTCATGATCGCCATAGCCATCCTCGTCATTACTGTCATTCCGTTCCTCGTCTTCATCATCATCTTCGTCTTCTTCTTCTTCTTCATTAGTAGACTCATGTTTTCGTAGAACATACTGTTGATGTTGTTGTAATTGTTGCTGTTGCTGCTGTTGTTGGTGTTGTTGTTGTTGCTGTAGCAACAGAAAATGGTGTTGTTGTTGTTGTTGGTGTTGCTGTTGTCTTTGTTGTTGTTGTTGAATAAAAAGTTGTTGTTGTTGCAACTGCTGTAGCTGTTGCTGTTGTTGTTGTTGTTGTTGTTGATAATAATAAAGATTGTGTAATTCTTCAGCACGTGTTGCAGCATTTGCAATATTAACATTTTTATATAAATATAACACAAGATCACGTAATCTTGCATAATACAATTTCCAACTACGACGTCCAACAGGAGCTTGAATAATAAATAAACAATACTAATAATAATAATAATAGTTAAGAGAGAAATAAGATAAGGAGGGGAGGCATGTGGGAAAACTTGCAACATAATAACACAGGCGACATACATTGTAATCTGTCCTATAAATACACACAAACTGTAACAATAAAAATAGTTTACACATTTGAAATCATCAATCAATCATTGTTAGACAACCATTAGAAACCTGGAAGCACTGGACGGCCGTTTCGTCCTGGTATGGGACTCATCAGCAGTGCGCATCCACGACTCCTGGACGAAACGGCCGTCCAGTGCTTCCAGGTTTCTAATGGTTGTCTAACAATGATTGATTGATGATTTCAAATGTGTAAAAAATCGCTAACCTCCAAAACTGTGCCCCAAAAAATAGTTTATTCTAAGCGAAAACAAAAAATTCGGCGAATATTAAAGTTATTCCACTTAAAAAACACTTTCTTTTATTTGGTGAGACTAGAATATAATTCACTGTGTTTCTTCTAGCAATTGAAATATCCTTTAAAACTATACGAAATCTATCATCATCCAGAAGATACAACTATTGATTAACAGTGGTCTACGCAAAATACTTCGGATTCGTTGACCAGACACGATCAGCAACAACGTACTGTGGGAGAGAACAAACCAGATTCCAGTGGAGGAGGAAATCAAGAAGAAGCGGTGGAAGTGGATAGGACACATAGTGTGAAAAGCACCGAACTGCATCACAAGACAGGCCCTCACATGGAACCCTCAAGGCAAAAGGAAAAGAGCCAGGCCAAGGAACACATGACGCCGAGAAATAGAGGAAGATATGAGAAGAATGAATTAAAAATTGGACAGAATTGGAAAGGGAAGCCCAGGATGGAGTTGGTTGGAGAATACTGGTCGGCAGCCTATACTCTACCGGGGGTAACAGGCGTAAGTAAGTGAGTAAGTAAGTAAGTGTATACTTATCTCAGATGATTGTCTAAACATTAAATGTGCGAGCATAGAATGCAGGTTATCAGTAATTATTAAAATAGGAAAACACTTCTGAGTGATTCTCAGAGGTCACTTTTAGAGTTCTAATGCGCACTTATGATCATTGAAGTCAAGCATGTCTAGCGTAGGGCAATCGCCCATCGATTGGACTAAACGACAGCTATACAATATCGCAAATTAACTGAAGTTAGATAGGTAAACTATTAAATATGAGTTAGTTCAGTAGTCTAGAAGTAAACAATCGCTTCGCATTGGAACCCAGGTGGTGTCATGTGTCTAAACAATCCTGAAGTTACATGGTAGGACAAACCAGTTGCCTAGTGTTTTCTGGTTTTCAACGGTTGTCTAAACTAAACTTTCTGTGATGTTAACTGTGAAATTCAACAATCTTCACAAACTAACTATACTCAATGGTCTATTGGATGAGACTGAATTAAAAAAACAGTTCGTCTTAGAGATCTATTGAAGGACAATTGAAAATAATACTGTTAGGATATCCTAAGGGTACTATTTATGGAAGTATAATCCTATTGGTCGATTTCTATTGGTCAAAATTATGATCGTTTTAACTGTCAAAGTCAAATACTTCAATGTTGTCTCTGATTGGTCATCCGGACTGTCAATGTCACAGACTTTGATGCTCTTTCCTATTCGACCTTAATGTATAAATACGCACTATCTGTAAGACTCCATGATTCCGATTCCGTTCCTTCCTGCCTACCTCTCTTCTGTACTCGACCAAATAAACAACTCCTTCCAACGGTGTTGCGTTCTGATATCTAGGAGATTTGGAAATAGCATTTTGGGTCGTATTTGAATTGGACGCCGCTAGGACTGAATAGCTATACGTAGCAGCATTATAACAAATACACTTTATCATCAATGTAGATCACATGAAAAAGACCTTCTTGCTATGGCTTTCTTACTTTAAATGAGATTCTATTATAGAATATAAATAATTTAGAGACCTGTTAGTCAACTACAACATAAAACTTCGTACGTACATACAGCACAGTTTCAGTTACCATAGCACATTAGCACAGAGAGATGTAATTGTCAATTTAAATCCTATCGTAGAAGATATATTTTATCCGAAACCTGTTCATGTTCAAAAATAACATTTAGAGGTATACATTAAAAGTTCTCTTCACAACTCATATCTTCATGACGAGTTATATGGTATTCTTGTTATAAAAGTGTTTCTACTTAGTATAAACTCTCTCTCTGGTGTATATATATATATATATATATATATATATATATATATATATATATATATATATATATATGGGAATTATTTATTTAATCGGGACCTACTACACATGCAATAAGTTTCTAATGGTGGTCTAACAATGATTGATTGATGATTTCAAATGTGTAAAAAACACAAACCTCCAAAACTCTGCCCCAAAATATCGTACAGTGCTCACTAGTGACTAGCTTCGTGAGACAATTCTCGGAGTTCTAGTTGAGAAGACGTGACCAATGGAGTTCAACCCTGTTGGGTGTAGGCAGTAACCACCAAAGATAAATGGGTGAGGTGGCGCAAAATCTCTAGATCAATCAGAGTTAGACATCAACACCGTTGAATGCCGGCCCAGTGGTCCGATGGTTAGGCGTCCGCACACAATACCGAAGGTCCCGGGTCCGAATCCTGCGAGGTGCAGGAGTCGTAAAATGCGCACTGCCACTGATGAGTCCCATACCTCGACGGAACGGCCGTCCAGTGCTTCCAGGTTTCTAATGGTGATGGTCTAGCAATGATTGATTAATGATTTCAAATGCGTAAAAACACAAATCTCCAAAGCTCTAACTGAAAACTTTTTATACAAAGGTGATAACTTCCTATTACAACTGAGCATTGGTTAGAGACTTATATTATTCAAATTTAGAACAATAATTAAGTGGTTAAGTGGTTTTTATAGTTAGTCATTAAGTTCCAAGTTCTAAAACATCCTTTAATCTAGATAGATCTAGGCACAACAGTTAGGATCATTACCTTTTTCAATTAAAATAAAGTTCAAATCATAACCTTGATAAGTGAGTTTTCACTCATGTTTTTTTTTAAGTATAAAACCTATTCACATTCTTAGCAAATACTTTTTCATCATGAAAACTTTGTAACATCAGTTATTTAGAAGAATTCTTTGATTTATAATAAACTATTCATTACTCTACTTTGTATATCGACAAAGTTGTTAATGGTCATCACGGTTGTGGAGGTTGTTGAGTTGCATTGAAATCTTCACAGCTCTATGATAAAAAAAATCATCATATACTCACACTAGTGAGTGAGTGACCAGCTTCGTAAAGACATCTATTTCTTCAAGTTCTAGTAAGAATTCCTAACCAACGGAGTTGAGCTTTGTCAGATGTGAAACAGTGACCATCGCAGTTAATTGGATGAGGTCACGCAAGATACCATAGGTTGATTGAAGTTAGACATTAATACCGTTAGATGCCGGCTCAGTGGTCGAGAGGTTTGCCCGAAGGTCCTAGGTTTGATCCCCGCGAGTGGGAGTCGAGGATGCTCACTGCTGATGAATTGTATACTAAGACGAAACGGCCGTCCAATGCTACTAGGTTTGTAATCGCATTGTTCTAACATTGATCAATTGATTACTTTAATGAAATTCATATGCCGATTATTCGAAAAAAAATAACCCAACACAAAACAACCCCCTATGAAATGTACTTCATAATCATGCTTCATCCGAATGATGATTTAAAATATCAATACAGATAGATAGACAGACACACACACAAACACTTATTCACATAATAATAATACGTACAACTTCACTTAATAAGCAATGCAAGTGTGTGTGTGTGTGTGTGTGTGAGAGAGAGAGAAGTGAAAAGAACTAAAAGAACATCAACGTACTTTTCTTTTTATACGATTCCATAACCCATTTACGAGCCAATAAACCACGCATATATTCTTTGGCATTGATTTCTGCTGTTAACTAAAAAAAAACAGTGGACAATAACCATAAGAGAAAGTTAGAACAAACAGAGGGTGTGTGTGTGTGTGTGTGTGTGATTTTTCAGCTTAGGTTCCTCATTTTTTTTAATTGAAATAAAAAAATTTCGATCAATAAGCTTATGATCTAATGAACTAATCAAACATATTGTTTTACTATTCACTTGGAAATACTACTTATAACAATAGTATGAAGTTAGTAGTCAGTTAGTCAGATGAAACGTAGAACTTCGTACGTAAGTACATCAGTTCATGTCGCCATACCACATCAGCACAGAGAAGTCATTGTCAATTCAAATCCAATAGCAGAAGAGGTAGTAAAGGTATTAGAAGTAATCGGAGAGGTTAGGATTATAAGATATTATTCAAGATAAGTTTAGAAAGACTAAACTATAGGTGTTGAAGAATCAAGAAGATTAAGATTTGAGAGAACACAAAGAATAAATGCACCGGCGCCATTGCAAACGGTTTTCAGACATGTCATTCAGGGTTTCTAACCATCGATTAATATCATTTCGCGGACCCTAACCAGGTAGTCGACAACTACTGACAATGACTCAGTCCACTTGTTAGTAATTTCATGGATTTGTGCCATTTTTTAGTCTGGCCACCCCTAACTTTCTTCCAACCTATTCCTACACTACAAAACATAGCTCGTCGAGGCAGTCGGTGGTTAGGTATACGCAACACATGTCCCAACCACCTTAACTGAGGAAGTTTAATTACCTCATCTATTGATCTGCCATTCTTACATAGCACCCGATTCCTAATAACAGTGTTGCTCACTCGGATATCCCAGGATATACGAGCAATGCTTCGAAGACACCTATGATCGAAAACCAGTAACCTACGAATATCTTCTACTCCCACTGGCCATGTTTCACAGCCATAAAGTAACACGGAGCGAACTACTGCACAGTACGCTCGTACTTAAATCAGCGAACCGATATCGCGCCTTCGCCATAAGTGACGCAGTTTGGCAAAAGCCAATCAAGCTTTCTGAGATTTCGTCAGTCACCAGGCCATCAGCACTGATGAGACTCCCGAGATAAGTGAAGCGGTCAACACGCTGGACTACTTCACTCCCTATCATTAGTTCAGGTGCCGATGCAACCCAGTCTTGAAGCAACATTTTGCATTTCGAGAGGGAAAACCGCATTCTGAACATGCTTGCATTGTTGCTTAGGATGGTATATTTATTATGGCTTAATAGTGAAACTTTAAATTACTAATGAACTATAAGCTGGTTGAATGATGTGCGATGTGTAAGAGAATATAATAAAATAACATTAAATAGTGTATTACACAAGAAGTAGTCTGTTTGTATGATAGGGAGGTTGTGGAGATTGTTGAGTTACCCTTTTGAAATCATAAATCGATCAATGTTATTTAGACAACCCTTAGAAACCTGGTGCAAACGATCATGTGCTAACTAGTAACCAGCTCGGTGGGGAAGTTTCTCCGAGTTCAAGTGAGAAATTGTAACCAGTGGAGTTCAGCCTTATCAGGTGTGAAACAGTGCCCATCGAAGACAGTGGATGAGGTTGTGCAACACCGAGGATTGATTGAAGTTATACACCGGCTCAATGGTTCAGAAGTTTAGCATTCGCGAGCAAGCCTGAAAGTCCAGAGTTCGAATCTTGCGAGTTGCGCACTGCTGATGAGTCCCATACAAGGACAAAACAGCCGTTCAGTGCTTCGAGGTTTTAAACAGTAGTAGTGTAACATTGATCGATTTATGATTTCAAAAATTAGTCTATTTACTTATTTATCCATTCATTCATTCCGTTTATTCACAGTAGGGACATAGATTATTCGTATGATGGAACAATTGTGTGTGTGTGTGTGTGTGTAAGCATTAAAAAATTGTTCAACTGAATAATACTATCACTACTAGAAAAAAACAACTGTTCATTATTCCTTAAAATATCGAACGGATGAAATAAGAATAAAAAACATGGATTTGCTTTTATTTGCAAATCGTTATTTTGTACTGCTAAAGATATGTGCATGAAGATTGGTGAAAATTGCACTGTTATTTTGCATTCATATATATATATACACTGATAGTTATAAATCAGCAAGCAGCCGAGTAATATCATCAACCTTTTACATGAGAAGAATGTTCTACAATTAGGTAACACACGCACATGCACACACGCGGACACACACACACACAAGTCTGTCGTTGTAAATTTACAAGGTAACATTACAAAAACTTATGGTCAGAATTTATTTGGAAAAATTTAAACAAAGGAAATCATAGATTGAATTTGTCCAAAAAAAGAGCATACAAGCGGTAAAAGAAATTTAGATAATGAAGTAGTAATATGATAGTTTATATCACAAATTGACAGTTATTAAGGCTGAAAAAGTACTGACTATTAGGTTCGTGAGTAAATCCTCAAAGTTTTAATGTGAAGCTGTGACTAGTGAAGGTTCAACCCTGTCAGGTGTAGGCAGTAACTACCAAAGACTATTAATGAGGTTGCGTAATATCAGGGAGTGATTAAAGTTAGACATTAACACTCAGTCAGTCAGTTGCAACGTAGAACTTCGTACGTATGTAGATAAGTTCATGTTGCCATACCACAGCACAGAGACGCAAATGTCAAATCAAAGCAATAGTGATAAAGATAGTAAAGGTATTAACACTGTTGTATGCCAGTTCAGCGGTCTAGAGGTTAAGCATTCGCATGAGAGATTGAAGGTTCTCGGTTGGATTCTTGTGTGCGAAGGTCGTGGATGAGCACTGCTAATGAGTCTTATACCAGGATAAGAAGGCTATCTAGTTATTCCAGGTTTCTAGTAGTGGTCTAACAATGACCAATTCATAATTTCAATGAAACTCAATAATATCCATAACTATAACGAAGAAACATCTGTTTTTAGTATAGGATGAGACTGATTAGTAGTGCACACTCATGACCGCAATTCAGATCAAATAAAAGACCGTAGGGTTTCGTCACCAGTATAGAATCTTTAAACCATTGAGTCTACATACAGTGAGGTTTACAGACCTGTAATTCCTCAATCCAATCCCCTATAGAGTTGTACATAAGCACTTTTGGAGAGTATCATAACTAAAGTGAAACAGCTTTTAAATATAACTTAAAGCAAAAAGTTCGATAATGATGTAAACTACATCATTTAACAATCTCTTATACTCAGTCAGTTACAACGTAGAACTTCGTACGTACGTACATCAGATCAAACTGCCACAATATCAGCACAGAAACGCAATTGTCAGCTCAAATCCCATGGTAGTAGAGGTAGTAGAAGTAGTATTAACAGTAATCGGAGAGATTAGGGTTCAAAGATATTATTCAAGAAGTATAGTCTACAGAAATAAACTTACAACGAAAAAGATAAAGGTGATAAGGAATTCAGAAGGTTAGGATTTGAGGGAACACAATGAATGAATGCACTTGTGACAATGTAAAAGATTCTGAGCCATGTCGTTCGAGGTCTCTAACCATCGGTGACTTTCGTCTCGCGGAACCCAAACAGGCAGTCGACACCTACCAACACGACTAAATCCACTTGTCAGTGACTCCTTGGATTTCTGCCACGTTTTGGTTTGGCTTCCCCTAGCATTCTTCCAACCTACTCCTACACTGCAAAACATAGCTCGTCGAGGCAGCCGGTTGTTGAACATTCATAACATATGTTCCAACTACCTCAACTGACAAAGTTTCACTACTTCATCTATTGATCTGCCACCCTTACCTAGTACCCGTTTCCTAACAATCGCACTGCCTACTCGGTTGTCCCAGGATACACAAGCAAGGCTTCGAAGACATCTATAGTAATAACCTACGAATATCCTCAACTCTTACTGGCCATGTTTCGCATCGATATAGTGGGACGGGGCGAACTGATGCGCAGTAATCTGGTCCTTTGGTTAGCAGACGGAGATTTCGCCGGTCATCATGGTACCAGAACTGATGAGACTGCTGAGATAAGTGATGCAGTCGACATACTCAACCACTTCACTCCCTATCACTAGTTCAGGTACCGATACACTGATTAGATAATTATTTTTTAGAGGTAAACAACAAGACTATTCATTGAAAAGTTTAAATAACAATGATCATAACTTACATCTAAATAAGGACTAAGACCAGAAGATTCGTTTAATTTACGATTTGCTTGAGTTAATTGTAATGATTGCTGTTGTTGTTGTTGTTGTTGTTGTTGAGATTGTTCAGGCGGTGACTGTGTATAGAAATTCGACAATACAGATCCAGCATTCAATTGATTCGAATTCATAAATGAATCATCATACAATGATGCATTGAAACTATTCAAATTCCAATAGAATGGCGGTGTTATTCCAGTTTGTGGTGAAGGTAGCTGAGATGTGTTGTTCACTGGTGCAATAGATGATGATGATGATGTTAAGGGATTGAATGTAGCTGTATTGGTGCTACTATTATCATTTAGTTGTGATACAGTTACATTTGGAAAAATCATTGGAGGATAAGCGGTATTCTGTAATGGACTAAACATAAAATGTGTTTGAGGAAGATTTGGTGCATAGAAATTAGCCGCAGTAAGATATCCACCTAATGGAGCACCGACCATTGGTGGACCAAGTACATTTGGAGCAGTAGGATAATAGAAATTTACAAAACCCATCATATTTGTATCAGAGCTGAAGAGGAAAAATAAGAAGGATAATAGGCAAGATTAGGTTGAGATAATTAATTTATTTTAAGAGAAAATGTCACATTTACGACTATACATACAATAGACAAATCAGAAAAGCAGAAAGGTGACTGATTATCTCTATTCAATCAGTCTTGAGCATTGTTGTTAGAAGTGGGCAGTTATTGCTTTCTAGTTGGTTACACAATTGAGAGATTTCACTTCAACGGCCCGAAAAGGATACTCGGTTAAAATATTGGTGCAGACGATCTGGAAGCGTAGCAACAGAGATTAGGTGGCGACAACTTGAGGACGGTCACACACGACTTTTTGTCAGTAGTTATTAATGAGTTATTTCTGTACTTTTTGACCTTACTGACGGTACTTGAAATTTGTGATGGCAAGATGATGCATAGTATCTTTACGGCCAAACATTTATAACTACGCTTTCTGTCATGAGAAAGTAGGATACTCGTATATAACAGGTGTCTAAGGGGGAAACAACATGCTGTCATGATGACCAGTATGAATTTTCTCTTGGGTTTTGAGTTCTACATTTTCTAGTGATAGTAACACTCGTGACATAAAATGACTTAGAGAAGCAAGTGTTCTATGCAATAAGCCCCAATCAGGCTAGTCCAATTATCACATCAAGGTAACTGAAGCTACATTTAGGAGGTCGCTTAGTTTGATACTTAGCATAACTTAAGAATATTATTGAAATCACGAATCAATCATTGTTAGACCACCATTAGAAACCTGAAAGCACTGGATGACTGTTTCTTCCTGGAGTAGGACTGAACAACAGTGCGCATTCGCAACTCCCGCTACTTATAGGCTTTGAACTCAAGATATTCGGCCTTGCGCACGAACGCCTTAACCTCAAGACCACTGGACCATGTAAGTATCCAAAGGTGTTATTGTGTAACTCTAATTGATTTAAGGATTTTGCAAAACCTCACCTATTGGTCTTTAGTAGTTACTGCCTACAGCCAACAGGGCTGAGTTCCACTAGTCCTGAACAATATACTTCGACATCATTCATCAAAACAATTATGGGATTGTTGATAAAAAAAAAAGCAACACAACATAACTTAAGATTTTTTATAGAAAAAAAAAGAAAAAATAATTCAACTTACTGTGGCCAACGTATTGGTTCTTGTTTAATAGCATTATATAATACTTTTAAATCTTCTTTACAAAAATTCTCACCACAATTCATCATTTGTGTTAAATTATTGATAAAATCTTGACAAGACATTTTCTTTGTAATACCCTACAACAAACATATCAATGAGAATAATAATAATTACTATTATTATAGAAAGAAGGCGGCGAGAGAGTAAGAAAGAACAGAATGAAGAAACTGGAAAACTGTAACATTTAAATCAAAACAAGTGAATCTGTATATCGGATGCTGTTTCAGTATTCTGTGGGGTTAAACACTTGCCAAAAGACATGAAGGTTCAACCTCGGGTAGGATTGTGATTGTGAACTACTAAGGAAGAGTTCTCATGTGATGAAAGTGAAACAAATGTTCCACGCTTCTTGATTTTCAATGGTTGTCCAACTGGAGTTCGTTTTCGATTTCAATAACAATTGGTAATCTGTGCAAATTTCTATATACTGGACAAGTACACACTTATCAACTTGATTGTACAACGATGAAAAGAAAACGATTAAGACATTTAGAAGAGTGGGATCACTCAGAAAAAAATCCCATATATGGTATTTGGTAAGCCTATTTACAGAATTAGTTTGAATATGTATATATATATATATATATATATATATCAGAAAATCTTTTATTTGCAACAACTTTGATTAGTAGACATTTTGGATGTATATGAGATGAAGTCTAAGTGTATATGATTCACAATTATATAAATCAACCCTCTATTGTGTAAGGGGAATTTTACAGTGGTTTTCAGGAGAACCAAGAAGACTGCCCATATATTAACATTTCAACGTAAATCGCGTGAGGAAACCACAAATGTATGTGACAACCTGGTAGACCATTCACACCATTTATATACACTAGTACATATATAACAATTATTTTCGACCCATCACACTTACATGACTGTCAAACTCATTATGATTTGCAATGGTGATATGCAATACAGCAACCGAATGACAATGGCCCTCGGGAATGTTGCAAAACAACCACCTATATAAAATGAAATTAGTCACCCTGCTAACCAATTTTGTATATGGACTGTTAGCAATACTTGCCAAAGCAATGCCAAACCATCCACAATGTTCACAGAGAACGTATGGTCTCATAGTCCCATAGGATACCTTCAGCTCTATATAGAGCAGTATAGCATACAGTATACACATCTTATAGCATAGGATAGCAAGAGATGCAGCCCAACTTGATGCAAATAGGCTCAGCACAGTCTCATAACCCTTTGTCTCATCTTGGCTAAAGATTTTTTTCGTAATACCGAAATTTTCAATTTTCGACAATATGAAACGTGAGTTAGGGGTAGTATCCCTAGGTATATAGCATGACTTTACTCAATATTATATGTTTAATAGTACACTATGGAATTCTCAGTGTACAACAAACAAATGCACCGTTTAATAATGAATCCATTGAAAATTAATGTCGATAATACATTCGATATTACACACATCTTGGCATTGAACATTGATCAACATTGAACATTGATCATAAAAGAAATATATACAAACTAATGAACTAACAAACACACACACAATACACTTCTAATTTAATAAAAACTATCACAATAACAATTCATTATGATTATTGAAAGAAACGGAGTGATTATCATTTAGAAAAAAAAGAGTAATCTAACTTCTCCAGTTCACATTGATCATGTGAACAATCGATAATTCTATTCGACGGTAGAAGAGAAAACAAACAAACAAACAAACTAGTTAATTTTCTTAATGAGCACATCAAATTACACTTGATAAGATAGAAGTAAAGAGTATGAGAAGTTTGTGAATTGTCCTTAAGTGACCAGTTCAAACAATTCATGTACAAAAAAAAACAAAACAAAATCTATTTATTGAACATTGACAATGATTCGATACATTGTGCTTTGTTTGTCTGTTTACAATGAAACTGAGTAAAAATGAAAAACAATAAAAATGATAATTTTAACAAGAAATGTAAAGAATTTTTTTCAGTCGAATCGAACAACGGGTAAACAATTATTTGTTTAGGATAGACATTGTTATGTTCGTCACTAGGTACGCTTGAAGCTATTACGAGTTCACCTTAGTCGATAAATGCGAACGAGACAATGAACCAGCGTCCAGATAGGCTACCTTGAATCCCAAACTGTAAAGCAGAAGGCTTTGTAAGCGTAGAAAGTATATTCTACAAACACCCAGCAATCACACAATACAATCAAGCACACAACTCTCGTTTATTTATAAATCATAGAAACGTCCTTCGGACAGTTACGAAAATAGCACACTAAAATACACAACAGCTAATCACAGCCAAGAATTTTCCTGATGGGAAATGAAATCTGTAAGTCAACTGATCAGCCCATGCTCGCAAACATGAAAGCCAAAATAAGGCATTCATCAAGCGAGTTATGGGGATCTAACATCCCCAACAGACACACTTGAACGCAATGCTCCGAGCATATAGTTCATTAGAAGTTTTCAATGGTCGTCTCAATGACAAATATCAGTCTGTGATGTAAGAAAAACTATATAAGATTCAGTAATTCCAGTAAACCTCTTATGCTAACATTACTCATGATAGGATCTAAGAAGAATTATTTTTATTGATAAGAATAGTACGCTAGTAATAATTAACAGTGAAAATTTCTTATGAATTTAAAAGGATTCATAAACTATGTAGAGAAGATGAGAACAAGAGATGAATGAATGAGTTCATTGTCGGGAAGACGAAAAAAGGGCTAATCATATGGCTAGACCAATTATAACAAGAACTGAAGAACTGGGCGAGAAACAGTAGGAAAGAGAGAGCAGCAACGAAATCATCAATCAATCATGGTTAGACCGCCATTGGGAACCTGAAAACACTGGACGGCCGTTTCGTCCTGGTATGGTTCGAATCCTGCAAGGTGCAAGAGTCGTGGATGCGCACTGCCACTGATGAGTCCTATAACAGGACGAAACAGCCGTCCAGTGTTTCCAGGTTTCTAATGGTGGTCTAACAATGATGATTTCAAAATTGTGTAAAACAAAACACTAATTCTAATTGAAAATAATTATTTGACTTTCACATTAGACTGAATTCCTTTTTGCTTACTGTCAAACAACAACATTGGAATATTTACATAATAATATTTCGATACATTTTACAGTACAGAAAAAAAGCCAACCCGAAAACCAAAATCAATAATAATCAAAGATTGGTTTCTTTTTCCGTTAGTTATGCAATCCAATTCAATAAATGATATTTATCAAGTTGATATTTTTGATAAATTCTAATATTTTTTTTCTACAATTTGTATAATAAAACCATTTTGTAATGATTTTTCAAAAAAAGATAATCAAGACAAAACGAGAAATAGTTTCATAACTAAATTTCTGAAATGTAATTGTTTGAACTCGAATTTTGGCTAAATGTGTTGTGCCAATAAAAAGTTACTGGTACTGTTTTATGGTAAGTGCATAAAACGCTTCCAAAAGCCTTTTTAACGACCGAGAATGAATAATATGAATTAGTCCAATGCACTTTCAGATCTGACTATTAAGCTTAACTTGCAACTCCTATATGCATAAATCATCACCTATTAAGAAAAGAGTATTACTTGCCACGTTAGATAATTCATATCGAAACTAAATAGTCAAGTGACTTATCATGAAGAAAACGCCATGGACAACTGAACTGAGCCATGTTCGTAGATGTATACTACCTGGTTGGAGTGTGCGAGACAACATATTAACCGATGGTTATAGACTTCGAAAGACGACTCGAAATGGCGCAGGTGCATCCCCATTCTTTGTCTTCTCTCAAATTCTTATTTTCGGATTTCCTCATATCCGCTTTTTTCTCTTTTTAAATTTGTTTCCATAGATTATATCTCTTGAATAGATCTTTGATCGATAATCTTTTCGATTACTGCCAATACTTCTCTTATCTCTACCACTATGGCATTTGAACTGAAAATTGCATCTCCGTTCGAATATGCTATAGCAACTTGAACAGATGTACGTGCGTTGCAGCTGGCTGACTGACTGACTGACTAATTGACAATAATCATACAGCATCATTTACATTTCTCAATATCAATCTAATCTAATGAAATATTTAGGAGTCTCATCAGTGCTGATAGCCTAGTGTGTAACGAAATCTCATCACGGACAAAGAAAGCACGATAGACTTTTGCCAACTTTCGCCACTCATGGCATAGGCAAGATATCTATTTTATAACCAAAGGATGAGTGTACTGTGCAGCAGTTCACTCCGTCCTACTATATGCATGCGAAGCATGGCCGGTCGTAGACTGCTTGTCTTCGATCATAGGTGTCTTCAAAGCAGGAATGGCAGATCAATAGACGAAGTATTGAAATTTCATCAGTTGAGGTGGTTGGGACATGTGTTACGAATGCCCAACAACTGACTGATCATATCAAGGACGATATAGTGTATGATTCAAGTGCTTTCAAGCACTAAACTCAAAAGGCAATATTCATTTCAGTCTATTATCAGAGTCTTAATCAATCGCGTAAATACAAACACAGCAGATAGTAGAAAACACTGAGTCAGTGCTAAAAAAAAAGGCATAAACAACTAAATATCGATCTAAACATATGAATCCAACAGAACAGAGAATTATTGATTTCTCGATGAGGAGAAAAAGGACAGAATTCCATTCACGCAAACCTTATATATATATATATATATATATATATATATATACTGAGTCAATCACATCAAACCACAAGTCAACTTTACAATCGAGACCATTGAAATAGTTGATCAATTAAGCAAATCATAGAAACTGTACGTCAATCATTCAAAATCATCATCGAAGCGTAATTCAACACAACTAATGTATTATAGACAAGATGAAGTCATTAAATATAAAAAAAAAACACAAATTGCACAACCGTAAAACCGGGCATATAATAATAATACTAATAGTAATATTAATAATAGTAGTATATTGATCAAAAAGGATACATTTTTGAAAAAATAAACATCACTTACTTGACTATGCAGATCTGTATTGAGTAACATTAGTGCACAGACTAAAGTATGACAAGTATCTATTAAGAAATAATAATAATAATAAAAAGATATAAATATTTCATATAATGAAGAGTTATTAAAAAATTATTATTTATAAAAAACGACTAATAGCTGGTCATCTATCTAGGTCATTCAAAACATAGACATATACAACGCAGAACATCAGTTCAGGTTGCCATATCACATTAACACAGAGACGCCATAGTCACGTCAAATCCGATAGTGGTAGAGATAGTAGAAGTATTAGTAGTCACTGGGACACTCGAGTGAGCAACGCTGTTATTAGGAAACGGGTACTAGGTAAGAATGGCAGATCAATAGATGAGGTAATGAAACTCTATCAGTTGAGGTGGTTGGGACATGTGTTACGTATGCCTAACCATCGACTGCCTCGTCGAGCTTTGTTTTGTAGTGTAGGAATAGGTTGGAAGAAAGTTAGGGGTGGCCAGACTAAAAAATGGCAGAAATCCATGAAGTCACTGACAAGTGAACTCAGTCATGTTGGTAGATGTAGACTACCTGGTAGTGGTCCGCGAGATGATAATAATCGATAGTTAGAGACCTTGAATGACATGGCTCAAAATCGTTCACAATGGCGCCGATGCATTTATTCTTTGTATTCTCTCAAATCCTAATCTTCTGGATTCTTCAACACCTCTAGTTTTGACTTTCTAAACTTTTCTCACTGAATCATACTTCTTGAATAATATCTTCTAATCCTAGCCTCTCCGATTACTTCTAATACCTTTACTACCTCTTCTACTATTGGATTTTAATTGACAATTACATCTCTGTGTGCTGATGTGGTATGGCGACATGAACTGATGTACTTACGTACGAAGTTCTACGTTGTATCTGACTGACTGACTGAGTAGTAACTTGAGAAGATTAGGGCTCGAAGATATGATTCGAGAAGTATAATTCTGTGAGATGAATTTAAGAAGAGGAAGATAGACGATGAAAAAATTCAAAACACTCTCCATTTATGCAACATTATAGAATCGAACTAATAATAGACAGATAGATATATGATAAACATAGAGTCTGGGATTGATGTAGGTTGGTATAAATTGCAATGTAATGTGAGATGAAAATTATCACAACAATAAAGAAGATCGAAACAACATGATCCCAATGATATAATGAAAGACTTGAACTGTGGCATTATGATTTCAGAAGATACAGTAGAATGGTATGCAGGAAATGAATCTATATACTACTGTGAATGACTCCAGAAAGTAGGTCATTCAATGTCTCTAGCCACTGACTTGAACTTGAATGTCGACTTGAACCATATTGTTACGCCTGCACATAAACACGTCAACTTGATATGCTTGAACTATGACGAGTTTACCCTAGTCGGAAAACGAGAGCGAGGATCGAGGATACAGCGACACGACATGCTACTCAAATCCGATTATCCCAACCCCCATATTGAGTAAAATTATGAAGACTTGATATGAAGTAGAACATATATTCTACAAGCATTCAGAAAGTACGCGCTCTAAGTCCAGAAGAGAATCACGATCCCGGACTAGTGATCCGGGACCGGGTCCTGCTCCTGGTAATAAAACGTTACAGATAATGAGTATTTATACATTTTAGTCGAATAGGAAACCGCATCGAAGTCTGTGACATTGACAGTCAGGACAACCAATAAGAAACAACATTGGAGCACGTGACATTGATATCTAGGATGACCATAAAATTGACCAGTAGGAATTAACCAATAGGAATCGACCAATAATTCTCCTAGGATACTGGATGAATATCCTAACACATATGATCGCTGCACTTACCTAAATGACTTAAGCCAACAGTCGTTGATTTTAACGAACTGATGCCAGATTTGAGCAAGCCTCGCTCGTCAAGATAGACGGTGGTTGGGCATATGTAACATATATATTCTAACATCAACAATAACCGATAACGAAGCATTAACATATCAACCGATTTTTCCCCTTAGCAAAGTATCTTGTTTTCAACGCTGTTCATTTGGTCGTACCAGGAAACATAAGCAATAATTCAAAAACACCAACGACCAAAACTATATAGCCGATTATATAAGCAATAACAAATGCTATTACTGTAATTTATGATCAAAAATGCAGTCAACAATCAAATAACACAAACAATTGATTTATTCTATTAAACTGATTGACATATGACAAAAATCAAACATAAAAAGTTATTTTTAAAAGTTCAAAGAAAGAGAGAGAGAGAGAGAAAAGTGCATTATGTAATTTGAAAAAAACTGATCCGATTAAGATAAAATTATTAACCAACCCAAAGACACACAGTCATAATTTATCGTAAAATGTGCTGACTAGTGACTAGCTTCGTGAGGAAATCCTCGGAGTTGTAGTGAGAAGATGTGACCAGTGGAGTACAACCCTGTCGAGTGTATGGAGTAACTATCAAAGACAAATGGGTGAAGTCGCGCAAAATCTGTAGATTGATGAGCTAGATATCAACCAGTGGTACAAAGGTTGAGTTAGACATTAACGCTGTTGGAGGCCGACCCAGAGCTCCAGATGTTACCCGTTCGCACGCATGACCGAAGGTCCTGGTTTCGAATCCTGCGGGATGCAGGAGTCATGGATGCGCACTGCTGATGAGTCCCATACCAAGGCATAACGGTCGTCCAGTTCTACGTTGTAATTGACTGACTGACTGACCTTTATTAGTCTATCAAGTAATAGACTGACAACGTGACAAAAAATGAAATACAATCACACTTAATAATTCAGGTAGGATAAACTACCGTACACGTATGATTCTAAGTGATGATGTGTAGTTTAATCGATTTACACTTCAAGTTATGCTATTTGATTGTAACAAGTTAGTTGTACTAATCCGGTTGTTGAAACTGAAGTAGGATGCCGAAAACAAAAAATAAAGTTCAAGAACATGCGCCTTGATAGTTGAATGCTTCATCAATGAAAATTAAGTAACATAGTCATAGTGTGACATCCTACATTTCATTCAATGTGATGATTTTTAAACAGTGAGAGAAAGAGAATTAAGAAAAACAAATTAGCTTTTGCATTACGGGGTTGTGAAGATCGTTAAGCGACACATTTTTGAAACTATGAATCGATCAATGTTAGACCACCATTAGAAGAAACCTGGAAGCACTGGATGGCCATCAAGTCCTGGTATGGGACTTATCAGAAGTGCACATCCACGACTCTTGCACCCCGTAGGATTCGAACCCAGGACCTTCGGAATTGTGCGCGAACGCTTAACCTTTGGACCAATGAGCCGGCTTCTAACGGTGTTATTGTCTAAGTTGATCAATTCATGGAGTTGCGCAGCCTCATACACAGTCTTCAGTAGTTCCTGTCTACACTCGAACAGGTTGAACGTCACTGGTCACGACATCCTACTACAACTCGGAGAGAAGATTCCTCACAAAGCTAGTCACTAGTGAGCACAGGTAATTTGCATAACAGGGTTGCAAGAGTCGTGGATGCGCACTGCCACTGATAAGTAGTCCCAGACCAGAATGAAACGGCAGTCTAGTGCTTCCAGGTTTCTTCTAATGGTGGTCTAACACTGATCTATTCATAGTTTCAAAAATGTGTAAAAATTAGCTTTTACCTAATTTTTATATTATCGACAATTAATGCGGTGAAATCGGAAATACATACACACATAATATATATACACGTATATGATTGATTTATAGACTATTTCGATACAAATTTAATTTATGAGGTTATTGTTTTTTTTTTAAAAAAAATTATTGAAAAAAAAGAGGAGAATTTGTTTATAATAACAAAAAAGCAACAATAATAACAACAACAACACTTTGTTTAAATTTAGAAGAACTAAACAACGAAATAAAATTAAACAGCAAGTTTAAACTGATAACAGTGAGGTTTTACAGTTAGTCAGTCAGTCAGTCAATCAGTCTACACATACAATTATCGATACATATTCAACTACCATGTACACCAATAAAAGGAAACCGATGATAATTGAATAATAAATAGTAGTAGAGGTAGTAGAAGTATGAACAGTAATCGGAAAGATTAAGGTTCGAAGATAATATTCAAGAAGTTTAAGCCAGTGAAATAAATTTAAGAAGAGAAAGATAGAGGTGATGAGGAACTCAGAGGAATATGATATATATATATATATATATATCGTTGTTCAGTTTTGACATAATTTGGGTTAAGCCAATGTAGGATAGAGAGAAATAACTAAGGAGAATGAGTATTGTCTAAATGATGACAAATCTTAAAAAGTGGATTTCAATTATGTTGAACATAAAGAATAGTGTCCATTGAATGTATATGGAAGGGGTCTCATGCTTGTTACACACACCACCTGGGGAGCATTGGCTACCGACCATCATTCTCCAACATACTCTGTCCTGAGACTTGTTTTCTAGTTCTGTCCCATCGGTATTCATTCTTCTCACATGCGTCTGCAATACTCAGCCTAAGGTATACTTTGATCTTCTTCTTGTCCTTTGGCCTTGAGGATTCCATGTTACGGCTTGCCTTGTGATGCTACTGGGATCTCATCTGATAAGTACTTTGAGACTACGCTGTATATACTTTGAGGGTTCCAAGTTGGAAGCTTTCCTCAATGTATCCTGTTCACCTCCAGAGCTTCTTCAT